GGGGGGGTTCAGTAAAGGTTTTGCGCACTTGCAACAAATTAAGGTCATACAAGTGAGTGCCGAAGATAAGAGGTATTACAAGGGAGTAACAAACACACACCAAAAAGGGGATGAGAGATTTGTTTTAAAGGAGCAAACCACTCCAGAGCACCAGCCAGCTACCCATTAAGTACGGTACAATAGAAAGAACAAGAACAGGGGGAGAGTAGGAAGAAGGACGGGAGTATGGTGAAAAAGAGGGGGAAAGGTAGAGACTGAGAGGTTATGACTTAATGTCCTAATCAACAGAAATCGTCTTCTTCTCTTCTCGTCACCCTTCTTGTAATAGCCCATGAAGTGACTGTGAATGTATGTAAGATCTACAGTACATCTCACAGTGCAGCTGATTTGTACGTGCATATGCCGTTTTATCTACACAGAGCGTAGAATCATCCATTGCTTGACGTGGCGTTTCCGAAAGTATCTGTACTGGTTAAATTAGATCTCGAACCCAGGCCTAAAGCGAGCAAGACCACGCCAGGGAAACAATGAATTTTCCTTGGGGAACTGAGTGTCTTGGAAAGTTACAGGGTCTGTCGGGCCAAAGATAAATTGTTAAGCATACAGGGTTAATTTGAGAGCGGATATAATGTACTTCATAAATGAAAACAAAATATGTATTTTAAATACATGTATTATAATTAATTCATTATTATTATCCTCATCCTTATTATTATCATCACTGGTAATAATAATAACAACAACTTTATTATTCTTGTTGTTGTAGTGATTACTACATCATTATCATCCCACCAACGTTATTGAATGTATCATTATCATTGTTATCATATTTAATCATTATCAGTATATTTGCTTCGTTGTACATGAGGGGGAACAAACATGCAGAAACGGTGACCCAGCCCTATATCCAGCCCCTTTTCTGCCAGGACCATTACATAATTATTCAAGGCCTAGACAAGCCATAGTTTTTAAAAAAAGAAAAAATGCACGCAAAGTGATGACTATGCACGACCTAAAAATAACTGAAGAACCAACAACGATTTTTTTTTTTTTTTTTTTTTTTTTTTTGGGGGGGGGGGTCTCGGCACGTTAACGGTGGGTCATTGACGTCACCACAGCACGAGAAAATAATTAGACCCACAAAATGATCTTCACAAAAAGGTCAGTCCATACTATATGTAGCTAACGGAGCCTGTAACGTGGGAGTAGCGGTTAAGCACCTCGGCGTCACACGCAGAACCCATGCGTTCGATTCTCGTTACGGAAGTTGTTGTTTTTTTTTCATCGAGTATCTTCGTCTCACGTCTGTCTGCTGGAATGTTGTATCCATCTCAGCCAGGGCTGGCCCTGACAGACTTGTTTGTTTGTTTGAGCAAAGAGAAGCACATCGACACAATAATAGTCGTTTAGTGCTGAGAAAAAGTGAGACAGACAGAAACAACAGAGGGAAAGTAAAAAAGTAGGACCTGCCAGTGGCGCTCTCCAACTATCCTTTTAGTTTTAGTAGAGGCTTTACGGCGCTCGCAACTGCATAAGGTCATATGAGCGCCAGTCCAACTATCCGCCAGCAGGACCGAAGCAGCTCACCTCCATATCGAAACGCCATCGACTTGGAAGGATACTTTCGGAGGCGGCTTCATGCTTCGACTTCAGTCCAGCCAGCGAGGGCTAACACAGGCCGAGGGGAATCCCGGATGGAAGACGGAGAATTTCGATTAAAGAAAAAAAAAAACTTTCCCAATCGAAACCAAACCAACACCACTCTCAGTCCCGGTTGGCCATGGGAGGCAGGGTCCGAAGCCAGACTCCTAAATAATCTAAACTGTGTCGATGGGGGCGTAAAAACATACATTGTTATACTGCAATGTTTGCCATCGTATCTCATTTTATTTTATTTCACTATACACAGTGTTTTGCTTTTTTTCAAGTACTCATCTACTCTAAATTTAGCGGACCCAATCCACACACTTTTCCTTTATCTTTCCTCTTGTACCTCTAGGGCGTCAGGAGGAGAAAGAGCTTTCTGTCTCTAGCAAGCTGGATTGCCTGGCAGGGTAGGATGTTGTGTATTTTCACAGTAAATTTTATCTGATGTCTTATGTTATTTCGTGTGCCATACATCTATTTATACCTGACCCCATCTTAACGCATTACCTCTTAATGTATCTAATCTAATCAACCACATCCCATATCTTACTCCGTACCTCAAAGGGCTCAGGGCCGGGTTGGTAATCGCAGGGATCCATAAAGAGAGACGGAGTCTCGGAGCTGAACACATCACCGGCACTAATTTCCATAACGTCACAGCGGTAACAGTACCAACGCTGGTCAACTCAGGTCTCGAAATAATAATACGTTACAGTATGGAAGCCTCTATAACGTAGGAGTCCGGCCTTGAATTTAAATTCACATGCACCAACGACCTCGTTCATGAGACTGGTATTCTGTGCTTGATGTCATAGTAGTCATACAATAGTACCTAGAATTTTGCACAGGAGAAACGAACTGGGAAATGAACAGTGTAGCTTGCTTCTGCTCTGTAACTGTAACAGATGTGGTAACAGGCTACGACACAAATTCCTGAATTTTACAGGCCCTTGGAGAGGCGCGCGAGGGAACTCAACATTAACGGATCATATTATTGTCTAAAACACCTTGTATCCAGGCTATTTTAACACACAGAACAACATGACATGCATGAGTCGGTCGAATCCGGATAATTTCAGAAATCCAGATTTCCGGAAGTATCTCCGTTTTTAGAACAAGTGTATTGCCTTACTGGGCACGCACAGTCCCGAAAAACGCGAGTCGGTTATAACGTGACGACACTTGCTGCCATGAACAGAGTGCTGGTCCATTAGAAAGGTTTTAACGCCATTTCTCTTAAGCTACCATTGGTCGTATTAAAATGTATAATACCTCCATCGATACAATTAACAAGGATGAAATTCTCATTCGCACCTTCGAGGCAGCCTATTTCAATCTAGAACCGGCGTTAAACCCCCTTTAAAAACAAAACAAAACAAAAAAGAAAAGTCTCCATTACATAACATTCGAATTGTGAATAAATTAGTTCGGTCGTGATCTATGCGCGTCCTCAATCAATAAGTCAAGTTCCCTCACATATAATTTTGTACGAGCAAAGAAAAGCGCATCGACTTGGCACTTGTCACTTAGAGCTGGAGAAGGAAAAGGCAAGACAGAGCGACAAAATTAAAAGATGGAAAGAAAAAGAGTAGGACCTGCCTGTGGCGCCCTCCAACCATCCGCGCTCGCAGGTGAACATTTCATTCGACGAAAGTTCACTAACCGATGGCCACCACAATACTCATCCAAGAAACACTTCCAATAAAGTAAAGAGAGGGGACAGTGCGGCGCGTACACACGTGTGTCAGCGCAAAGACGGGGATACGAAGTGAGCCTAGTAGGCTACTAGTACGTGTAGTGTGTTAGTATTACGACCAATCAGTAGGCGAACTGTGTTGTCCGCGAGCCGTTGGCAATGAAAATAAGAAAAGCAGGACTAATAAATACAGTCGAACCTGCTGTAACGGCCATCGGTATAAGACAATCACCTTTACAAGCGGCGCCTCCCATTTCCTCCCTTGCGTACTTTCTTTTTTACATTCGAATAATACAGTGTAAGATGACCACCTGTCAAAGAACACCACTTTTCTTCTCGATAATGGATTAACCATCTTTGACAGCCCCGACTGTACCTGGATTACGTTGTGTACGACAGGGTTCTCTTATTTTCATTGTATTCAACTCACCGACAAAACGGTTGGCCAACAACTTTGTCGTAGTAGGTACAAGGCTTTCATTTAACTTTAAATGTCTTCCCCTCCGCGATGCGAACTAACGCCTTGTGCGGGATTGTAAACATTTTACGCCCTCAACAGCACAACTGAGATCATTTTATTTTACATGGAAGGCTTTTTCAATCATGTCTGTCAGGGCCAACTTCGCCTGAGTGGGAGGCAGCATCCCAGCACAAAGACGGCCATTGGTCATCGAAAAGGTTCAACGCTCCTCTCAACACTTAAGATCATTCAAAAGACGGAACCTCTGAATCTAACGTCCACTTCCGATAAGACCGAAAGCCTAATGGGTGGACAGTGGAGAGTCTTAAAAACTCCCCAAAACAAAGCAAGTTCAGAACTTCCCGTAAGGGATTCGAACTAGGGTCATCCACTCCCTAGCCCAGCGTGATACCAACTGAGCTACCGATGCACTCATACAGATAGACGGTGATTGACAAAATCGATTTTAAAACATATTTGTCAACGCTGGAACCGAACCCACGCCTTTTGCATGCGACAACAATGATTTTTAAAATCTCACTACACACGATATCGCCTAGAAAGAACCCCCGCAGAAAGCAATGACAGTAAACACATTTTGGCAATCGGCAAAAAGTCACGTATTCCTCAGGACAGAAACTGTTCCCAACTGCAACTTGGGCAAGACCTGAATTTCGAAAGACTAACACATGCACGGGCAACATACGGTAATACGTTAACGATTTAACATGACTTCGATAAGTAACCACTCAGTATGTTCCTATGACGAACAGAAAGAGGTATTCAATATCACACGGGCATCCACGCATCAAAGTAAGAACACACCTATTCCGTCACACGCGAGCCTCTACATATAAATCAATAAATCAATACTAAATATAAATAAATAAAATAAAATAACACCTCGTATGGCCATATCAAACCACTCACAACACATCGAAACCAATGAACACGTAGTCAATCTGTTAACGTTTTCATTGGTTTATCAAAATTCATTTGTTCATTGATTTTTCCCCTACACTGAACTGTTTACCGTAATGTGTACAATCTAACTAAACTAATATAAAAAGCCGAACGCCTACTATCACTAACATTCTTTTGGAACATCTCCGTTTCCAGCTCACTAAAAAAAAAAGGGCAGACTCGCGTCAGACCATGCATATGTATGCGATCATGTAGATCAGATAGATGATGGGCCGAAACAACACCCGAGGCATGACATTAGCCATCGGTATGTAGATTATTTACACCAATGTAATGAGTAAATTCAACGATTTCTGAATGGGGGCTAAGTAATGTGGCACAGAGATTCATAATGTAATAGGATGGGCTACAAAAATCTAGACCACTAGACCAGCCCATACCTGCCCCGTGGAGCGGGAGGGAGAGGGAGGGAGAGGGAGGGGGAGGGAGAGAAAGGGGGAGGGAGAGAGAGAGAGAGAGAGAGAGAGAGA